GCATTTAAAGAACTAACAGTAAGCAGGTTACAAAATCAACATACAAAAACATCAACAGATTTCGTACATACCAACAACAAATCTGCTAAGAAATCAGAAAAACAACCCCATCCACAATAAACTAAAAAAAAAAAAAAAAAAAACTACCTAGGAATACCTCTAACCAAAGAGATGAAAGCCTCTACGATGAAAACTACAGAACACTGAAGAAAAAAATTGAAGACTCCAAAATACGGAAAGACCTCCCATGTTCATGGATGGGCAGAATTAATATTATTGAAATGGTCATATTACCAAAAGCAATATACACATTCAATGCAGTCCCCATCACAATACCAATGACATTTTTCACAGAACTAGAAAAAAAGTCCTAAAATTCATTTGAAATAAAGACCCAGAATAGTCAAAGCAATTCTTAGTCAAAAAAGGCAATGCTGGAGGCATCACAATACCCGACTTAAAATTATAGTACAGAGCTATAGTCACAAAAACTATGTGGTACTGGCATAAAAACAGACAGTTTCTAGAGGCCTCATGTTTTCCCTTAAATCTCCCTTTGTTTCAGCCTACTTGAACCTGCCCTTGGCCTACTGTGACACTCACTTCTGGTTCTGGACAAAGACAGAAACAAATCCACATAGATACAACGATCTGATCCTACCAAAAACACACTCTGGAGAAAAGACAGCCTCTTTAATAAATACTGCTGTGAAAACTGGTTTACCATATGTAAAAGAATGAAAAGAGACCTTTCTCTCAACCTGCACAAAAATCAACTACAGGAGCTGGGGATGTAGCTCAGTGGTAGAGCCCTTGCCTAGCACCTGTGAGGCACTGGATTTGATCCTCAGCATCATATAAAAATACATAAATAAAATAAAGGGATTGTGTTCATCTAAAACTAAAAATATTTTTAAAAAAAAATCAACGCGAAATAGGTCAAAGACCTAGGAATTTAGACCATAAAGTATGCAACTCCTAAAAAGAAAAAACAAAAACAAAAAAAAATAAGGTCAATGCTCCAGCATATAGGCACAGACAGTAACTTTCTAAAGCTCAGAAAATAATGCCAGGAGTTAATGGGATGGTATCAAATTAAAAAGCTTCTGCATAACAAAGGAAATAATTAAGAATGTGAAGAGAGATCCTACAGAAGGAGAGAAAATCTTTGCTAGCTACTCTTCTGATAGAGAATTATTATCTAGAACATATAAAGAACTCAAAAAACTAAACACTCCCCCCCAAAAAAACAAAAAACAATTAATGGGCAAATGAATTAGATATTTCTCAAAAGGAAAAATACAAATGGCAAAAAAACACATAAGAAAATGTTCAACATCATTAGTAGTCAGGGAAAAGCAAAACTACACTGAGATTTCATCTCCACCAATCAGAATGGCAGTCATCAAGAATACGAACAATAATAAATGCTGGAGAGGATGTGGAGAAAAAGAAACACTTTTACACTCTTGGTGGGATTATAAATGAATATAACCACTATGGAAATCTGCATGGAGGTTCCTTAAAAGACTAGGAATGGAACCACCATATGACCCAGCTAGACCACTCTTTGGTATTTATCCTAAAGAATTAAAGTTAATGTACCACAGAAATACATGCATACCCATGATTATGGTAATACAATTCACAACAGCCCAACTGTGAAATCAGCCTAGGTGCCCATCAACAGACAAAATGTGGTATATGAACACAATGGAGTTTTATTCACTCAATTAAAAATGAAATTATATCATTTGCAGGAAAATGGATGGAACTTGAAAGTATTACATTAAATAAGGCAAACTCAGAAGGTCAATGGTCATGTGTTTTCTCCCATATGTGAGAGAAAAAGGAAAAGAAAGGGGAGGGAAATTTAACAACAAATCCCATCAATATGTACAACTATAATGCAACAATAAAAAATGTGGAGGAAAAAAAAGAAAGTGGGGGTGGGGGATCTCATGAAAATCAAAGGGAGATCAGTAAAATAAGAGGAAAGGAACCAGAGGGTAAGAGGGAGGGTGGGCAGGCGAAGGAATTGCTAGGGAGGGATACTGGCCAAATTACATTGTTACATTGTGAGCACTAGTGAATATGTAACAAGTCCCATCATAATGTACAACTATAAGGAACCAAAAAAAAGTGGAGAGAAAAAGAATTAACAATAAAAAGAAAAGGCCTAAAGTAGAGTAGAACCAGGAGCAAGCAATGTTGGAAATCAAGTTAGAAGATTCAAGAAGTAGTAATCTAAGGTCAATGGAAATTAAAGTGTAACAAAAAAAAAAAAAAAGGAGAGTGGGCCAGGGTACAGATATTTCACAATTTGAGGACATTAATAGCTGTGATTTACTTAACTACATGCATAGTTAGTTTCAGGAACAATGACAAATAGACTGGGGTGGGTTGCAAAATGAGTTAAGGAAATGAAAACAGTGATCATAAGACAAATCAGTCTAGCTGGGTACAGTGGCGCATGTTGGTAATCCCAACAACTTGGGAGGCTGAGACAGGAGGATCCCAAATTCAAAGCCAGTCTCAGCAACTTAGTGAAATCTTGTCTCAAAATATAAAGAACTGGAGATGTCGCTCAGTGGTTAAGCACCTGTGGATTCAATCCCCAGTATCAAAAAAAAAAGAAAGTCTCTTAAGAGGTCGAGCAGTGAAGGAATCAAGTGTACTTAGCCAGTAGCCTTTGCAGAGCTGGCATCACAGGCTGGCACCACCCCATTTAACATGTCCACTCTGTTTTCAGATAAGCAGGAGATTTGTTCAAAAAGTCACAGCCAGTGAGTAGAAGTGCAAATATGTTCCTCCTTGGTGACATAAAGTTGTCTAGGTAGCTATTTTTAAATACAACACATTGATTCAACAAGAATTTCAGAAACTAATCTGTGTGCTGCAGTTATGTAATGTTCTGTGTGATAAGTAACTTGTCGTCAGAAAGCAAATAATATCAGTTTGAGAAATAAATGAATCATGTTGAAAAAAGTGTCAACATTAGGCTGCCTGTAGCATTCTCGTTAATAAAGCATTCAGAAGAACCTAACATTACAAATAAATACTGAATACCTATTCTGGTAAAAAACTCTGCGACATCACCCTGAAGTAGGGGGAAAGAGAAACAACTGTGAATAAAATTTTAAATCCAAAACATAAAATATTTGACCTTCTTCCTTCCAAACAAGTTTGCCTTAATGCAACCCCACAACTTTTACATATGGCAGAACCAGATTATTTAATCAATTAGCAAAACTGAAGGACCTGGGCAAATTTGATTTACATCTCTATAGTTAGTACAATCACTTATCCACTGTGGTAAATTCCAAAACAGGGGCTCCTCTTTGACAAACCAAGCTTGACTGGCCTTTGTTAAATTCTTTTTCCTTTTCTTTCCCATAGGAAACAGCCACTCTTCCCTAGTTAATGTTTCTCATACAAAAGTTCCTGCTGGCCAGGGTGGTGCACACCTGTTACAAATCACAGCAGCTGGGGAGGCTGGGGCAAGAGGATCAGAAATTCAAAGCCACTCTCAGCAATTTAGATGAGCAACTTGGCAAGATGCTGTCTCAAAATAAAAAACTAGGGGCTGGGGATGTGGCTCAGTGGTTAAGTGCCCCTGGGTTCAAACCTTGATACACACACACCAAAAAAAGTTCCTTCCTTTTTCCTCTAACTCACTCAAGTGCTTTATTGTGCCAGGTGCTGGTCTAGACCCTAAGAAGACATAAAGAAGATGAACTAGCCCAGCCTTCATGAAATTTATTAGTAGAGAACAATTAAAGCATCTAATTAACTAACATACTCATTACAATTAATGATTAATTATTGGTAAGGAGACTAAGGACTGCTAAGGAGACAAGGAGATAGCTTGATTTCCAAAGGAAACAATATTTGGGCTGAAGTTTTAAAGAACGTTTAGGAACTGGGGAAAGGGAGAGGTGAAGGAGACATTAAAGGCCAAGCAGATAAGCAAAGAGGAGGCTTTCCAGGAACAAAAATTAAAGCCAGTGTGGCTTGAGTCTGAAGAGCCAGGGGAAAAAGAGGCTCCAATGAGCTGGCGACAGGAAGAGTGAGCTCACTCAGACCTAAGAGAATGTGAAACCCTTGAGGGGTTCCAAACATGTGATACACCGAGACACGTGCTTTTCTTCACAATTACTCCTCTTACTCTTCCATGCATCAGACCTCTTTCCAAAACCCAGTCCCAGGCCGCCAGCAGCACAAACTTCCTTAACTGGTCATTAATGATGCTGCTCAAGGCAAGCAAGGAGGGGGAAAAAAATCTTCAAGTTGAATTCTGTATTTAAGAGAAGAAAAAGATAAGTACTCTTCGGGGGTGGATGGGGGAATAGATTAAACAAGGGGCAGCCACTTAACTATTCAAGTGATAGCTGGACTTAACCTATGCATAAAAGCAGAGAACACAGTTTATAGATGTTTCTTGCAAATAACTTCTAAAAATATGTGTGTATTTAAATTACATGGGTATTAACATTTAAAGTCAAAGACTGAAAACTTAACTACAGCCTAATATTTAAAAAACAAAACACGAACCCACAACCTAACAGATTTTGACATTTTATTGCGCCATCCTTCCCTTCTCACAGTTTTTCCCCCCTAAATCAACAAAAAGATGACTTCCCGAATGCAGTTTGTGGTTTCGCTTTTTAAAGAATAAAATGCCTTCTAATTTATAACTTTCTGTACTACTGGCTTGAGAGATGCCACAGGGCTGGGGGACACCAAACGAGCATCCGAGGTTTAAACGACTGCCAGTAACGTGATGGATGCCTGACTGTAACTTTCCCGTCCTCCCCTCCCAAACTCCCGGAGACTGGCGGAGCCTCCCGGTCTCCGGGCTGCGGGGACTGGACAGCCCTGGACAAGGCCAGGCCCGCAGAGCCGGAGTTGCAGCCGCCACCTCTTTCCCCTTCTCCTCGGGCTGAGGGGGGGGGGACCCAGACGGGAAATGAGAAGGAAGGTGGGAGCATGGGCATTACCTGGGGCCCAGCCGGGCTGCGGGGACTTCGGCAAAGAGGGCCGGGCGGGGAAGCCGTCACTGCACAGCGGCGGGAAGGTCGGCTACAAAAGATGTCCCGGGGCCAGGGCCCGCAACGCCGCGAGCCCAGCCGCAAACGAAGATAAAGCGCCCGACTCGCCCGCCCCTCCGCCCCCAACCTCCAGCAGGCTCGCCTGCGTCACGCGCACGGTCCTCGAGCTCGGGACTCCATTGGTGGTCCCGGCCATCGCAGGCCCCTCCCACTGCCCCGCCCCTTCCCGGGCGCGCGGGTACCCGGCGCTGGAGCCTTCAGCTGGTGCTGGCGCTGGCGCCCTGCGAGCGGAGCCTCGCACTAGCCGCTCGTGACACCGGCGACAACAGCTTGCTTTCCACTTCCACCCAGCGGTCAAATGTGGCACAGAAACGTGACCAACACAACTTCCTGCAAGTTCGAAAAGGCACCCTGCGTGGTAGCATGGGACAGGGGAGTCTAGTGCTGCTTCTGTAGACTCGCGTAAGCCACTCCTGGAACGGTGGATCATTGACATTGAAACTGATCGTCAAGGAACAAAATAGAAACTCTAGCCAGAAACCCTTGTCATGAGTAGCCTTTTGCTCTGTAAATCATGCTTGACAATGCCCTTCAGCAACATGCGAACTAGATAAAGAGAAAGAAGTCACATAAACAGATAATCAAGTAACTTAAAAGGAATCTTGGGACTTCGTAATCAAAGAGAAAATGATGCAGAGAGATTTAGGACGTAGATGAGATCCAACAGTTTATTGCTTAGATTTTATGAAGTTAAGGATGTGGGAGAATTTAGAGTAAAGATTGCTAAAAGTGAATGCTAAGAGGAATAGAGACTGAAGAATCACACTCAAAGCCAGCAAACCAGTATCATCCAATTTGGCCTGGCTAATCATTCCCTTAACTTATCCCATTGGAATAATCACTGTTGAGATGGCCACTCCTCCAGGTCAGAAGCCCTAAACCAATGGATCAGGTTTATTGGAACTCACTAATCTCAGTAGACTTCCCCTCAGTAGAAGAGATGGAATCCAGGAGCTTTACCACTGAGCTACATATGCAGTTTTTTGTTGTTGTTGTTGTTTTGTTTTGTTTTGAGACAGGGTCTTCTAAAATGCTGAGACCAACCTCAACTTGGGATCCTCCTGTTTAGCCTCCTGAATAGCTGGGATTACAGGCTTGTTGCTAACAAGCCTGGCTCTGTAGACCTTTGAACAAAGTAGATAGATAAAAGTTCCCCTGGACACCCATAGTAGGCAGCACTGTAGCGTTGAGTTGAAAAGGCACAGGCTGTCATTGGCAGACCAGCACAGTTTTGTTTGTTTGTTTCTTCTATAACAATTGGGATTGCTGCTTCTGTCAACTATATGCAAACAGAGTCTGGTAGATCCTCTCTGTTTTTGTGTTTCACCTCTCCCCTCTCACCAGTTTAAGAGCAACAGGAACACAGGAATTAATTTCTGTTGGGATTCCAATATCCACCTTATATATACCCCAAGAAGACACTTGTCTATTCATTGTTTGATTTATTCATTTTAAAAAAATATTTTGGTTGTGTTTTCCTGGTGCCAGGGATACAGCAGTGAATAAAACAGAAGCAGGCTTTGCACTTGGAAGCTTATGTTTCTAAAAGGGAAGATAAATAATAAAACAAACAAACAAGACAATTGCAGGTACTGATAAATGTTAAGAAGAAAACACATCAGAGTAGTTAGAGAAAGACATGAAATAATGCACAATCAAATAATTTAAAAGGAAACTTGAGGCTTTGTAATCAAAGAGAAAATAATTCAGAGAACCAAGCATGGTGGCACACACCTGTAATCCCAGTGATCCCAGAGGCTGAGAGGCAGGAGGATCACAAGTTCAAGTCCAGCCTCAGCAACTTAGTAAGGCCATAAGCAACTTAGCAAGACTCTGTCTCAAAAATAAAAAATAAAAAAACTATGTATGTAGCTCAGTGGTTAAGCACCCCTGGGTTCAATTTGGTACCAAATAAATAAATAAATAATGCAGACAGATTTAAGACATAAATTAGATTTAATTGTTAATTGCATAGCTTTTGTGAAGACAAAAGTGTAGGTAACCTTCTGAGGTGGCCTGAACTAAGACCTAAATGAGGAGGAGTCAGGCATGCCAACCACAGAGAGGAAGAGCATTCCAGACAGGGCAATGAGAGTGAGGGCTCTGATACTGAAGAACTGTGGCTGGCTTGAGGAACAGGAGGCCAGGAGCACTGAGCATGCTGAGTCACAAGTATGAGACTGAGCCTGTAGTGTTAAACAGGAGCTTAATCATATTGTTTGGATTATTTGGTTAAGTGCAAAGGGAAGACAAACTTCTTTTTTAAGTTAATCTATTTTATAGAGAAATTTGGAGGGGAGCAGAAATGGAACAAGGAGAAGCCAGAGAAGAAAAGGAAATTATTGGACAAATCTATGGGATAGACTAGGGGAGTTGCTATGGAACTACAAGTTAAAAGATTTCAGGATACTTCCCTGAAGCACAGATGTGAAGAAACGTAGTAAACAAGGTAACTCCAGGTTGTTTCCTTAAGCAACTAGGGGGATGGCAATATCATTTAGTGCAAAGGCAAATACCATATTATATGATTGGAGGGAATCCAAAAGCTTCCATCTAGAATCCAAGCATGTCCCCCCCACTGGCCTGAAAAATCTCATATCACTCAATCCTTGAGATCAAGTCCTGGGTAATTACTAATGTCAACTTCTTCGTACTCCAAAAAACATGTGTAGGGAACTCGTTCGTAATTAGTTCCAGGCAAAGAAAAATTAGTAAGTCTGTTGGGGAGATAAATAAGTGAGCCATTTCAAAACAATGTGATAAGTATAACAATAAAAAGAGATTTTTAAAAAACAGTGCCTACCTAACAGTGTAAATATTAAATGAGTTAATGCTTTCAAAGATTCACATACAGACCCTGGCTGATAGAAGTGCTCAATCAAAGGGCTGGGATTATAAACTTTTTTTTTTTTTTAAAGAGAGAGAGAGAGAGAGAGAGAATTTTTTTTTTTAGAGAGAGAGAGAGAGAGAGAATTTTTAATATTTATTTTTTAGTTCTCGGCGGACACAACATCTTTGTTGGTATGTGGTGCTGAGGATCGAACCCGGCCGCACGCATGCCAGGCGAGCGCGCTACCGCTTGAGCCACATCCCCAGCCCAAAGGGCTGGGATTATAACTCATAGGTGGCGTGCTTGCCTAGAACGCATAAGGCACTGGGTTCACTTCTCAGCACCCATAAAAATAAGTAAAATAAAGGTATTGTGTCCATCTACAACTAAAAAAAAATTAAAGAAGATCTCAATTAATACTACCAATTATTATTATTGACAGTATTATCTTCTGGTGAGAAAAGGCAGAATGGAGGAAGAGTAACTGAGCCCAGCTTTCTGAACCAGTGTGAATTTAGTTGTCAGAGAGGAGGAATTGCCCAAGCAAAGGAGCAGGGTCAAAGGCCAGAAAACAAGAAGGAGCCAGAACCATCTAGGAGACAAGCAGGTGATTAATTATTTTTAAAGGGTAGGATACTTCCTGAGAAATGGCAAGAGGAAAAGCTAGTGTCCAGACTTGAATTTGGAGACCAATGTCTATGAGACATTCTGATTCAGACTCTCAGACAGCAGGGAGCCAGTGAGGGATATTAAGTAGGAGGGAGTCATAATTTTGGAGACCTTACTAGAAGGAGATACAACTGGAGGTGGATAGATTAAGTGGAAAAGTGATGTGGTAATAGAGGTGAGAGATGATAAAGGCTTAAACTAAAATTGTAGCAAGTGGGATAGAAAGAAGGCATATCTGAGAGATATTAAAAGAATAATTAACTCAATTATTAGCATTTGGATGTGGAGGTGAAGGATATATTCAGGATTTAGCAAGCTAGGTGGCTGGAGTTAAGGCTAAGATAAGAAAATACACCCTGGAGAAAGAACAAGAAGAAGCTTTACTTGAGTTAATATTTAAGCTACATTAGTCCATACTGAGAAGAACTGACCAAGAAGCAATCAAGTTTTGTTTTGTTTTTACAATAGAACAGCTTTCACATTTTTTGTTATGTCAACAGTGCATAGTTACTGCAGAATATTTTTTAAAATTAAGAAAAGTACAAAGATAAAGGCCACCTAGTATTCTACCCAGAGATGCAACTGAATTTTGATGGGGAGAAGGAAAAGAACAATGGCTTGAACTTTACTGTCAGAAGGCACTGGCTTCTACAGGGAAGATAAAAAGGGAAACTGCAGGGGAACCAAGCCAGATTTCAAAACACAAACGATCTCAGTTCTTCAAAGGGTAAGGATACCATACATGCAATAAACCTCTATCCCATCCTAAGCATGTGTAACTTCACCACTGGCACTCAAACATACAGAAAACAGATTGAGTAAAAATGAGGCAATGGAATGAATCAGAACACAGAACTTGCCTGGTATGTTCCTTAAAATTTTTTGGAGTTGGAATCCTCTCTCATTTAAGTATTCCTGAAGCACCCAACACAGCACCTATGTGTCATGTGTTATATGTATTGAATTAATTAAGGAAACAAACTGAAGGTATAAGACTGCAAGGTGTGGGTCGGACACAATTTCATTCCTTCTCTTGGTGACTTACTCAGCTTGAAAGCTGTTTTTCACTTGTCTTCTACAAAGACAAGGCTTCATATATAAGGGCAAGAACCATATATCCCAGTTAGGCAGGATGCCATCTTGACTCTAAGGATCGTCTAAACCTCTAAATAGTAAAGTACATTCCAGGCACCCCCATAGATGTCATATAGTTCAAGATCTACGCACATGAGGAAACAACATCAAGAGTTCCTGAATCATCACTGGTGATGAGTACTCTCCGTAAACAAGAGCTGCCACACCGCTGTGCTCATGACCCAGTTCATCTTTTTTGACCCTATTACTAGAGATTATTCCATGATTCTCCAAAAGACAGTGGCTAGTTTCTTTTAATCACCCAACTTGGATTTTTTAATTCCATAAGGAAAATAGATTTATTCCTTATTAGATAAATAACACAAGCTTATTGGAAAAACTCCTTCCTCCATACATGTAGAGCCTTCCTCATTTAACACTCCCACCAGATTGGTACATTTGTCCCAGTTGATGAACCTACATCGACACATGATTATTACTCA